CTTTAAGGTGATATTGTTGCCCCCTATATGGAGTGAGAAATCCGTCGCAATTAGTGTAGCCCGCATCAACCAAATAATAATTACCTTCACAAAAATCAAAATAAGATAATCACTAGATATCTTACTAACAACTATAATTATACTCACAAAAAATAAAAGACCTATTCCATTTACCTCGAGGTACCCTAAGACCATTTGGCCTCGAGAGAGCATTATGAAGGACATAAATAAATTCCATATTAGGTGCACAAGCACCTAAAACATTCATAGCAATTGTGCCTTTCCTTGTTCGATATTTTCCCCTTTCTTGTGAAGTCACTCTTACGTTAATATAGGTACCATCTAGCGCTCCTAGACAACTCTACATTATAAAAGACAAAGATATGACTCATATACATACATTACATGAAAATCTAACAGAAAAAAGAACATGAATGGAATTATACCTTGAAAGGTTGCCACCTTTCATCTTCACATTCATTAGATATCGCTATAGGCTTGTGCAATAAGTGTTCATGCAACTCCAAAATAGCCCTTAGACATAGGTTAAATTGTCGACTCACTGTTTTCCCACTTCTTAAAAAGAGATTTCCAATTGACCTATTCTTTTGATGATGAGCCAATGTGTACAAAAACATTGCAACTATCTCTTGAAGAGTCATATTTCTTGTTCCACTTAAACCTCCTATATCACTAAGCATCTCACAAATAATATTAAAAGTACGTCTATTGACACGAAGCTCACTTTTACAGCTTACATCACTCTGTCTTATTAAGTGACTCAAAAATAACGAGCGTAACAATTTCCTATTCCTTTTCCTTTCATTGATTTGAGCCCCTCTAATTGTAACAACGCTCATCAAATACCAAATCCAAAACAGCATAAAAACTACAATAATCATTGTAATAACCAATTGAACTTGTTTTGCTCTTCTTTTTTTCCCAATACGAGCCATTTCAAGAACCTTAAAAATACATTCAATAGAAATAGATAAGATTCTAGTGCTACAACAAAATCATGCAGCTTAAAAATTTTCAGATTATGCAGCCTTATATCTAAACATTCAACAGAAATAGATAAGATGCTTCTCAACATGTATTATTATTGCTCTAAAATACAATATCAAAGAACATTCCCTTAGATTAAACAAACGAAATTTGTGTGATTCACCTAATCTGTATTAAACAAAGGTACAGAGAAAACTAGATTATCAGGTACTTTGTGGTACAGAAAATTAGTCATATAAATCAGAAATCAGAAAAATTAGGGAAAAAAACTCTAGAAATTAACACCATAAATAAAAAATAGCAATCAATAAATAGATCAAACATTCAAATGAAAATATAGATAAAAACTCAAATAATATTGCAATCAATCATGTATTTCGAGATAAAAAAATCAAAATATACAATCAATCAAATAGAAAGATTTATAAATTCAACAACAATTCAAAATCTAGGGTTTTGAGATAACATACCTAACTTGAGCGAAATCTAGAGCTTCGATAATTTGGGAACGAAATCTGGAGCTTCGACCAAGGAGAAAAATCTTGGGTTTCGACATTTCTTTGGGAGAATGTCGCATGAGAAGTCGGAGAAGATGAGAGAGAAGAGAGAGAAGAGGTTGAGTTGTGTGTGTTTTTTGGGTTAGAGGAGAGAAACGTGATTTGTTTCTCCAGTTTTTTTACCGGAAACAAAGTAGTGGAATGGGTTACCACTAAGAAACGTGATTTGTTACTTTACTCCTCAACCAAACAGATTCTAACGGAAACGGTATCTGATTCCGTTTCCAAGCCTACAAAAATCCCGTACCAAACACCCCCTAAATGCGTATCAAACATGCTATAAAAGTTTTTCCCAATAGACTATTTAGGACATGACCTACCAGCCATCGAAATGAATCAAAACCCAGAAGATCTTATAACATATTATATGCAACCAAGATTTGGCACTTATATATTGGATTCAAGGGAGTATTTTCTTCATAACATATAATTGAAACCATTAAGAATTAACCAGGTCTGGTTTCTTCCCATCATGCCCTGTTCCCAGCAACACGCCAATAGTCTCGAGCAATCACAACCCATTACAATCCAACAAGATTAGATGCAGGCTATGACTCACTTCAACAAATCAGCCCAAACCCCACATCTTATATACACATATAAGCCACTTGTCGAAACTCGAAATCATCCAACAATTTCAGTCACAACGATCTCATGAGGCAATGAGGAACCCCCTATCTATATCAATTCTCACACCAATAATTAATTTCTGCAAGCAACATGATAAAAACTGAATAAACTTCACACAAAACCACAAGCTTCAACACACACAATGAGTTTTTTCGTGTAATATTTATACACAGCTTAGAAGCTTATTGAAAACATTAAGAAAATAAATGTAACATTCATAAAATACCAACGAATTACATGAAACTTTATATTTAAGACGCCCCAAAAATAGAGAAGCAGAGATCACAAGATACATTCCATAAACCCAGAAAATCTTATAACATATTACTCTATATATGCGAAGATATTCTCATCAAATATATGATGATAATGATATCATATAACTCATTATTTAAAATTCAAACATACTTATATTTCTTAACAAGATATCATGACTATACTCTTTCTCTAGGCTAATTTAGAATATATTTCACATTTCTGGCCTTAACCCACTGTCCAACCATTTATTTACTCAGTTTGCTCACAGTCTTTATTGCATTGTAACAACACTGGTCTAACTAACAACAATCTCACTTTTCTACTATAATCTTGGTAATAATAATAATAATAATCATAATAATAATAATAATAAAAAAAAAAAAAAAAAAAAAAAAGTAAACTCAACATTCAAATTGTATATATCCAGTAATCAAATCATATTCCCTTTTCACCTCTAGACCAAAAATCCTGCAAAATAGTCACATAAATTTTAATACTTACTTAAATTTTACCTCCTTGGCGATGTATTTTTCTTTAATTTACATTATACGCATGTCAAATTTTGGCTTTTTGAAAACATTTTATTTAATATAAATCTGAAAACTACGAAAATTCAATTTGGTTTCATTATTACCAAATTCTAGAAGAAGATTTCAACATGTAAAATAAAATTGAATAGGAGAAAGAATCATCACATAAGGGTTTTTAAATTGATTGAATAAGGGTTTTTAAATTCAATCAAATCACAAGAGAGAGAAAATGAAGGAAAAAGAGATACCAGCTGTTTGGCTCCAATTCGGTCATCTAATTGGGCCAAGTCCAAATAACTCAAGTCAAGGTCAAAGCAAGGTTCAACCCTCCAAAAAGCATGCTAAGGTCATTTTAAGCCCAATCAATGTGGTCAGCCCATCTGACCACCTGGGCCTAATTCTCCTCATATGAATCCAGGTATAAAAGCCATAACTTTCACCATTTTACATTCATGCAACTAAAGCCTCAAGCACTAAATCTCCTGCATAGCATTCTCTCTCAACTGAACTGACTTTAGCATCGGAAGGGCCTTCCTCGGCAACCACCCCCGAGGCTAGTTTACTTGTTCTTTGGTGTGTAGGAAATCCTCAGCTCCAGCGTTCTTTGGACCGAGACCAGTCTTCTCCACCTTAAAAGGGCCTGCCGAAGGCCCCATTGTTTTTATTCGAAACAATTTGGCGCCGTCTGCGGGGAAGATACAAAAAGATAAGCCAAAAAACCATCACCCCTAGCGAAAAAATATGACTAAGAGTGGCAAAAGCGCCAAAAACGCTAGAAAGAGGAAGGAAAGGGAGCTGATCACGGTGAGGCAGCACCAGCCTATGTCACCGTCGCCGGAACCATCCACCCCTTCCTCAAAAGCTCCTAATTCCAAAGAAAGGGAGGTTTCAAGAGCCCCTAATTCTCAGAGAAGGGAAGCTTCGGGGGACTCATCCTCGCACCAAAATCGAGAGCCAATGGTCTCACCTGAGCCGTCAAATGCGAGGAGTCCCCCACCAAACAGCAACCAACGCTCTCAGTCCCAGCGAAAGAAACCCCTCTATCGGGGCCCTCTACGGAGGAAGTGGCTATGGCCGTACCGTGGCGGTCTGCATGGAGTTCCTTAAATCCCAAGGGGCTCAGCCACAACTAACACCACCAGGACCTCCATCTCAACAGCCGAGGAACCTGAGAAGGAGAATCGAGCGAGAGAAGGACGGACAAGCTCTATCCTACAAGGAGCTCGGGAAAAAGTGGTAGGAGAACACATGGAACTCTAATAAGGAAAGGAAGAAGAAGCCTCAGTTCTTCGACCATTCCGAAACTCATGACCAAACGAGTTTCCGGAGCAGCAATACTACCTCCACATACAAGGAGGAATCGGCTTGCTGAAGTGTTCACGAACGCCTAGGCGCAAGGGAAGGGGACGTGCACAGTCGCCTCACTTTCCCAGAGAAGACCGGGCTGTACCCCGAATTGTCTCGGCCAGGGACGAAAACCACTTCCACCTCTCTAAGAGGGAGAAGCGAGGTCCCTTCGGCCAGGCAAAGAGGAAAGGCCATTATGGTCCCTACGAGTTCGCCCTTCCAGAGTTGGATACTGGAAGAGCATGTGCCAACGGTGAAAATACCGGCGCACATTACTTACGATGGCACCTCGAACCCGAAGGATCACATTGCCTCTTATGAGGGGCACATGTATCTTAACCCCAGGTCCGAGGCTACGTGGTGCAAATACTTTCCAACAACCCTCAAAGGTGTTGCACAATCGTGGATCACCAAAGGGGTAAAAGAAGGCTCTATCTCTGGTTGGAATGATCTTTCCAACAAATTTAAGAGCAAATTTTCTACGGTTAACCGCCGAGAAAAGACAACTGCAGAGCTGATAGGACTGCAGCAAGCCGAAGGCGAAAGCCTCCGCGATTATCTGACTTGTTTCAGCAACGAGTAATCTAGAATTACAAGTCTGGATCAAGGCCTTGTCGTGTTTGCACTACGAAACGGTCTTCAAGCTGGAAAGTTCCTAGACTTCATGGTCATGCATCCCCCGCAGACCTTGGAGGAGGCTCTGGATGCCTCGGATAAATTTATCCGAGCCGAAGAGTGGAACAAGTCGAAGTCTCAGTCCCAGTCAGGGGCTGGGAAAGCCAAAGGACAAATGTCTGAGGTTCCAGCGCCGAGGAAAGGGAAGGTCAAGGCCTCAGAACCGTCCTCGGCCACTGAACCGCAAAAAGAAAAGTTTGTCCCCTACGCGGGGCGATACGATTCATACACTCCTCTTACTCTTCCTCGTGCTAAGATCTACATCACGACAAAGGAAGAGGGGAGATTCAAGAGGCCTCGGCCGCTGCCACCATGGAATCAGCAAAAGGGCAAAGACCGATGGTGCGAGTTCCATGAATCCTCTAGACATCGCACCGAGGATTGCCTTCAGCTGAAAACCCAGATTGAGGATCTGGTTCGGAAAGGCTATCTAAAGAAATACCTAGCGGATCGCCGTGAGGAAAAGAAAGCCGAGAGAGACTCTCGGCAAGATCTTGACTTTCTTCGGAAAAAAGACAAGCAGCAAGACAAGGACACCCTTGACATTCTTGTTATTTCTGGAGGAATATCTTGGAGCGCAGTGAAATGCCACATGAGGGGTCTGACCCACCAAGTCAATCATATTGAGCTCCGGGCGCCTCAGTCTCCGATGCCGAACATTCTATTCACAGCCGAAGACTATGAGGGGGTGGTTTATCCCCATGATGACCCATTGGTGATAGTAATGGGCATTGCAAATTGCAACGTTTGGCGAACCCTCGTCAACGGCGGCAGCGGGGCGAATATCCTCTTTCGGGGAGCATTCGAGCAGCTAAAGATGGAGGCCAAGCACCTAACTCCGGTACCCTACCCGACATCAAGATTTAATAGCTCTTCATCATATCCGGATGGGAAGATCCTCCTTCCTATCACCATCGGCAAAGGCCGAGCAGTGCGGAGCATCATGGCTGAATTCTTGGTCGTGGATGCGCCCTCTATGTATAACGTGATTATGGGGAAACCCCTCATTCACGATATCCAAGGAGTTGTCTCGACGTACCATCAAACGATGATATATGTTTCGGACGAGGGACACTCCGAGAAAATAAAGGGCAGCCAAAGGGAACCCCGAAGATGTAACCACCTCAATCAATCCAGGGGTCGCCGCAGCGACCAGGATGATGATGAGGAGAAAGAGCGGGACCGTAGCGCAAAAAAGCCTAAAGGCTTAAGTGCTTCGGCCTAAGGAGCCCCGGCTAAGGAAAAATCCTTAGGGGATGAAAGGGTAGTTCTTCATCTGAGCCGAAAGACTCAGAAGAGCAGGAGAAGTCTAGGAAGCCTGCTGATATTGACAGCAAGCTTGAATCCGAAGAGTCCAATGCCAAGGCTTTGGCCTCGGATAACCAGACAGAATTAATAGAGTTGGCCGAAGGAAATTCTAAAAGGAGTGTCAGCATCGGACTGGGACTTAAGCCAAACGTTCGTGCTGAACTAATCCAACTCCTTTGGGACAACAAAAATGTGTTCGCATTCTCGGCAGATGAAATGCCCAGGATTGATCCGAACCTCATCTCTTATAAGCTTAATGTCAACCCTACATGTCGACCTATGAAGCAGAAAAAGCGGAATTACTCCGCTCAAAAGAACCAAGACATCGCAGCCGAAGTCAAAAAAACTCTTGGATGCGGGGTTCACCGAGCCTTGTCAGTATCCGGAGTGGCTGGCTAATGTGGTGATGGTTCAGAAGGCAAATGGTAGCTGGAGAATGTGTGTGGACTTCACGGATCTGAATAAGGCATGTCCAAAGGACTTCTATCCCTTGCCGAGGATCGACTAGCTAGTCGACTCGACAACTGGCCATGCCTTGCTCAGCTTCATGGACGCATTTTCAGGATACCATCAGATCTTCATGCACCCCGATGAGTGAGCAAAAACAACATTTGTTACAAGTTCCGGGGTGTACAATTATTAAATGATGCCCTTCGAATTGAAAAATGCGGGGGAAACATATCAAAGGCTGGTTGATCAGGTATTCGCCAAGCAAAAAGGCCGTAACATGGAGGTTTATGTTGATGATTCCATCGTCAAAAGCAAAGAAGAAAAAGACCATGTTACGGACCTGGCCGAAATCTTCGCCACCCTTCGCAAGCACCAAATGAAATTGAATCCGAAGAAGTGTGTCTTCGGCGTAAAGTCAGGGAAGTTCCTCAGCTTCATGGTCAGTAAAAGGGGGATTGGTGCTAATCCCGCCAAAGTGCAAGCAGCTCTGGATCTCCCCGAGCCGAAGACTAAGAAGGATGTTCAGCGCCTAACTGGCAGAATGGCTGCCTTGTCTAGGTTTATCTCTAAAGCCTTAGACAAAGGGCTACCTTTCTTCAAGGCACTCAAACTCCCAAAATCAAAAGAGCTTATATGGGGAGACGAGCAAAAGAAATCCTTTTAGCAACTTCGTGAGCATCTAGCTCAACTCCCAACACTGGCAAGACCAGCTGAAGGAAATACTTTATACTTATATGTGGCGGTCAGTCCAACCACAGTGAGTGCGGTGTTGCTAAAGGAAGAAGAAAAAGTCTAGCAGCCGATCTATTTTGTCAGCCACACTCTGACAGATGCCGAGACACGCTACCCCCTACTCGAGAAAGTTGCATATGCAGTAGTGGTAGCCGCTCGGAAGTTAAGGCCATATTTTGATTCTCATCAGATAGTGGTCCTAACTGATCAGCCGCTAGAAAAAGTCCTCGGCAAGGTGGAAAATCCGGTAGATTAACAAAGTGGGCTTTCGAGCTCACCGAGTTCAGTATCATTTACCAGCTGAGGGCAGCTATTAAGGCGCAAGCCTTAGCAGATTTCCTAGCCGAGTGTTCTTATCAAGAGACACTTGACGAAGGAAAGAAAATCTGGACTGCTTTCACGGATGGATCTTCCACCGTGAATGGTTCGGGGGCAGGGGTCGTCATAGCCTCTCCCAAAGGCAAATCCGTTGAATATGCACTAAAATTTTCTTTCAAAGCTTCGAACAATGAGGCCGAATATGAAGCAACAATTGCTGGCTTAGAATTGTGCATAGCATTGGAAGCTGAGCATGTCTGTTTAAAGACAGATTCTCAGCTTGTTGCAAATCAGATCCGGGGTGAGTATGAAGCCAAAGAGCCTTCAACGCACAAGCCGATGCACTCTCTAAACTTGCAAGTTCGACTTTAACATAATTGAACCGATCTCTATATGTGGAGGTGCACCGAGAAAAAAGTGTGGACGAAGCAATTAGCACGTGCTGCGTCACACATGAGCCGAGTTGGATGGATCCCATCCTAGCTTACAAGCTTCAGGGTGAACTCCCCGAAGACCAAAAATTAGCCTCTAAGAAAAAAAGAGTCAGCTCAAGATTCGTCGTCTTCAGAGGAGAACTTCTAAAGAAGTCCTATTCATCCCCGCTATTGAAATGCGTGGGTCCAGTAGATGCAGACTATGTCCTTCGAGAAATTCATCTCGGCATCTGCGGAAACCATATAGGGGGAAGAACCTTAGCCCACAAAGCATTAAGGGCTGGGTACTATTGGCCAACCATGATCGCAAATGCAAAGTTTCTGGTCCGAAAATGCGAGAAATACCAAAAGTTCGCACCAGTCATCCATCGACCATTCCGAGATCTTCAGCCAATTTTGAATCCTCTCCCATTCGCCCAATGGGGATTAGATATATTGGGACCATAACCTAATGCTCCTTATCAAAAAAGGTGGTTGATAGTCGGAATAGACTATTTCAACAAATGGATCGAAGCCGAGGCTTCTTCGAACATTACAGAGCAAACTGTCAGGAAAAATCATATGGCAAAACATAATTACTCACTTCGGGATTCCGAGAGTTTTTGTCTTTGATCATGGAAGGCAATTTGATAACCTGCTGCGGAAGCGATACACAGATTAGTTCGGTATTAAACTGGCATATTCCGCAGTGTGTCATCCGTAGAGTAATGGTCAAGCCGAAGCTCTAAATAAGAAAATCCTTAACGCTCTCAAGAAAAGGGTTGAGGATCCAAAGTCCAAGTGGATAGAGGAGCTTCCTAGAACCCTCTGGTCACTTCGGTCAACAGAAAAAGAGGCAACGAGGCATTCACCTTTTGAGTTGGTGTATGGATCCGAAGCCGTGCTTCTAGTGGAAACTGGCTTAAAGAGTCTGCGAGTAAATCTCTTCTCAACCGAGGAAAATGAGCAACTCATGAAAGAGTCCCTTGACTTCCTTGATGAGATCACGGATTCAGCCCAAGACAGAATGGCTGCATATAAGCAAAGAATCAGCAAATTCTACAACCGAAGGGTCCACCAAAGACTTCTCAAAGTTGGGGACCTAGTTCTTCGGAATTCTACTGCTGTGCAAAAAGGCCGCATTCATGGTAAACTCTTAGCAACTAAGGAGGGACCCTATGAGATATATGATGAGCTTCAGCCAGGCACATACCGACTTTGGCAGTTGAATGGCACTAAGCTGAAAAATCACTGGAACGCTGATGTACTCAAAAAATATCATGTTTAAACCCCCTTTGGGGAGCAACAATCTATGTAAGTACGTTATCTTCAATTAATGAAAAGGCCCTTGAGCCACCGTTTATTCAAATTCAGCTATATCTCTACTTTTTCTGTCTTCTATGGTTTTTGCAAAAATTCAAGGTCTTCATTCGGCGCTGTCCGAAGTATTGCATAGTGATGCATTGTACTTCGGCAAGTCGTAAAGCCTGCCGAGATGGGGATAAAAGATAAAAGCCCGAAGTATTTCATAATGATGCCTTGTACTTCGGATGAATCTGTTCCCCTAGGCAAAGAGGCCATAGACGCACCCAAAACATAGCCTAAAAAATAGGAATTGATAAAGCCCCAAAGAATTACATAGTGATGCCTTGTACTTTGGATGAATCAGTTTCGGGTGGTGATTGCATTTCCGAAGTATTGCATAGTGATGCCTTGTACTTCGTATAGGTCACTACCCCGGAATCGTGTTTTAGATAGTCGTTCCCTCGGGTGGATTGAAAGTATCACAAGAGTACTGCTCTCAGAGTCTAGGGCTCTTGTGTAAGAAATCAGAACTTTTGAAAACGAAAATAGAAGAGAAAAGGGAAAATAAGCAAAAACTATGAAGCTGGAGCATCGCAAAAATTTCACCAAGGCAAAATCCTCGGCTACGCCGAGGAAAGCAGTTGTCCCGGAATCCAGAAGACGTCATCTTCAGATTTCTAGGGGGGCAAGAGGCACTCACTTCGCAAATTCCTGTCCGAAGTTTAGTACTTGGAAAAAAATTTCACAAAGTTGAAATATTTGAGTAAAACGAGCAAAGGAAAAAGGAATGCAAGCAAAGGCAGTACACTCTCAAACAAAGTAAATTCTCAGCTTAGTATGTTTCCAAGCCGAAGTTCTACACTTGGCCAAATTTCGAAGAAAATCAAGAAAAGCAGTTAATGTATAAAGAACATTAAAACAGGCAATAATGGAAGAAAGCTGAAAAAATCATTCATAAAATGTAACATGAGGGTTTCAAATGTTAGACAAATAGCAAGAAATTCTAGAGTCGGCAGCCACCCACAAGCGGAAAATACAGCTGCCGAAGAAATGTACTTAAACAAAAGAAGTTTGTACAATGCAAGGCTAGCTGAAGCAAAAGAGTTAGGCAAAAAGCAGTTAAGGCGTTGATTCAGTTAAGAGCACGTAGACCCGCAAGATTCTACAAAGACTGCCCGAGTCCCTATGCTTCGGCATTTGCTGGATCGGAGTCAGGGGCCCTCAAAGTCTCATCAGCAGCAGAAGAAGAGGCGGGGCAAACAATATCAGTCTCTTTGGCTGCATCCCCATCTTCAGCCTCATCTTCCGCGGCGTCAACATTGGCCAAGCGAGCTAAGTACGCATCTTCAGCTGGTTGGGCGACCCGCATCTTAGGATGGTTAGGGACCGCCGCCCATTCCTCAAATTGGTCCCAGTCTATGTCTGGGTAACTGTGGAAGGCCAAGCGCCGAGCAACGTTAAAACCGTTGTCAAATCCCTCTTCGTATTGAGCTCGGGTGTAGATGCGCACCTTCAGCAAGTCATTGGCAGCTGAGAGATCTGCCTTAGCCTTTTCAACCTATTTCCTGGCCTCGGCCAGCTGATCCTTCAACTCTTACATACCTGACCCCATAGCAGATAGGTCGGAGTCCTTGGCATCAAGATGGCTAACCAAGCGTAAAGTCTCAGCCTCATGGCTCGCCTTCTCCATCTCCAGATC